TTTCACAAACTCATGCCACCTGGAACACCACAGGATAATGGTGTGTCCGAATGTCATAACCGTACTTTATTAGATATGGTGCGATCTATGATATCTCTTACCGATCTACCACTATCGTTTTGGGGTTATGCATTAGAGACAGCTGCATTCACGTTAAATAGGGCACCATCTAAGTCCGTTGAGACGACACAATCTGAACTGTGGTTTGGCAAGAAACCAAAGTTGTCGTTTCTTAAAGTTTGGGGTTGTGATGCTTATATGAAAAAGTTTCATCCTAATAAGCTCAAACCCAAATCGGAGAAATATGTCTTCATAGGATACCCAAAGGAGACTGTTGGGTACATCTTCTATCACAAATCCGAAGGCAAGACTTTTGTTGCTAAATTCGGAGTTTTTCTAGAGAAGGAGTTTCTCTCGAAAGAAGTGAGTGGGAGGAAAGTAGAACTTGATGAGGTAACTATACCTGCTCCCTTATTGGAAAGTAGTTCATCACAGAAATCTGTTCCTGTGACTACTACACCAATTAGTGAGGAAGCTAATGATGATGATCATGTAACTTCAGATCAAGTTACTACCAAATCTCGTAGGTAAACCAGAGTGAGATCCGCACCAGAGTGGTACGGTAATCCTGTTCTAGAAGTCATGTTACTAGACCATGACGAACTTGCGAACTATGAGGAAGGGATGATGAGCCCAGATTCCGCGAAATGGTTTGAGGCCATGAAATCTGAGATATGATCCATGTATGAGAACAAAGTATGGACTTTGATGGATTTGCCTGATGATCGGCAAGCCATAGAAAATAAATGGATCTTCAAGAGGAAGACGGACGCTGATAGTAGTGTTACTATCTACAAAGCTAGAATTGTCGCAAAAGGTTTTTGACAAGTTCAAGGTGTTGACTACGATGAGATTTTCTCACTCGTATCTATGCTTAAGTCTGTCCGAATCATGTTAGCAATTGCCGCATTTTATGAAATCTGGCAAATGGATAAACAAAACTGCATTCCTTAATGGATTTACTAAAGAAGAGTTGTATACGATGCAACTAGAAGGTTTTGTCGATCCTAAAGGTGTTAACTAAATATGCAAGCTCCAGCGATCCATCTATGGACTGGTGCAAGAATCTCGGAGTTGGAATATACGCTTTGATAAGTTGATCAAAGCATATAGTTTTATATAGACTTGCGGTGAAGCCTGTATTTACAAGAAAGTGAGTGGGAGCACTACATCATTTCTGATAAGTATATGTGTATAACATATTGTTGATCGGAAATAATGTAGAATTATTCTGCAAAGCATAAAGGAGTGTTTGAAAGGAGTTTTTCAAAGAAAGACCTCGGTAAAGCTGCTTAAATATTGAGTATTAAGATCTATAGAGACAGATCAAGACGCTTGATAAGTTTTTCAATGAGTACATACCTTGACAAGATTTTGAAGTAGTTCAAAATGGAACAGTCAAAGAAAAAGTTTCTTGCCTATGTTACAAGGTGTGAAGTTGAGTAAGACTCAAAGCCCGACCACGGCAGAAGATAGAAAGAGAATGAAAGTCATTCCCTATGCCTCAGTCATAGGTTCTATAAAGTATACCATGCTGTGTACCAGATCTATTGTATACCATACACTGTGTTAAGAGAGGGAGTACAATAGTGATCTAAGAGTAGATCAATGGACAGCGGTCAAAATTATCCTTACTGGAATAAGGATATGTTTCTCGATTACGGAGGTGACAAAAGGTTCGTCGTAAAAGGTTACGTCGATGCAAGCTTTGACACTGATCCAGATGACTCTAAGTCTCAATCTGGATACATATTGAAAGTGGGAGCAATTAGCTAGAGTAGCTCCATGCAGATCATTGTTGACATAGAAATTTGCAAAATACATGCGGATCTGAATGTGGCAGACCCGTTGACTAAACTTCTCTCACAAGCAAAACATGATCACTTTTTGGGTCTTAATCACATAGCGATGTGAACTAGATTATTGAATCTAGTAAACCCTTTGGGTGTTAGTCACATGGAGATGTGAACCAATCACATAAAGATGTGAACTATTCATGTTAAATCACATGGCGATGTGATCTAGATTATTGACTCTAGTGCAAGTGGGAGACTGAAGGAAATATGCCCTAGAGGCAATAATAAAGTTATTATTTATTTCCTTATATCATGATAAATGTTTATTATTCATGCTAAAATTGTATTAACCGGAAACATAATACATGTGTGAATACATAGATAAACAGAGTGTCACTAGTATGCCTTTACTTGACTAGCTCGTTAATCAAAGATGGTTATGTTTCCTAACCATGGACAAAGAGTTGTTATTTGATTAACGGGATCACATCATTAGTTGAATGATCTGATTGACATGAACCATTCCATTAGCTTAGCACCCGATCATTTAGTATGTTGCTATTGCTTTCTTCATGACTTATACATGTTCCTATGACTATGAGATTATGCAACTCCCGTTTGTCGGAGGAACACTTTGTGTGCTACCAAACGTCACAACATAACTGGGTGATTATAAAGGAGCTCTACAGGTGTCTCCAAAGGTACATGTTGGGTTGGCGTATTTCGAGATTAGGATTTGTCACTCCGAATGTCGGAGAGGTATCTCTGGGCCCTCTCAGTAATGCACATCACTTAAGCCTTGCAAGCATTGCAACTAATGAGTTAGTTGCGAGATGATGTATTACGGAACGAGTAAAGAGACTTGCCGATAACAAGATTGAACTAGGTATTGGATACCGACGATCGAATCTCAAGCAAGTAACATACCGATGATAAAAGGGAACAACGTATGTTGTTATGCGGTCTGACCGATAAAGATCTTCGTAGAATATGTAGGAGCCAATATGGGCATCCAGGTCCCGCTATTGGTTATTGACCGGAGACGTGTCTCGGTCATGTCTACATTGTTCTCGAACCGTAGGGTCCGCACGCTTAAGGTTTCGATGACAGTTATATTATGAGTTTATGAGTTTTGATGTACCGAAGGAGTTCGGAGTCCCGAATGAGATCGGGGACATGACGAGGAGTCTCGAAATGGTCGAGACGTAAAGATCGATATATTGGACGACTATATTCGGACTTCGGAAAGGTTCCATGTGATTCGGGTATTTTTCGGAGTACCGGAGAGTTACGGGAATTCGCCGGGAGAAGTATTGGGCCTTATTGGGCCATACGAGAAAGAGAGAGGGGCTGCATAGGGCAGGCCGCGCGCCCCCCCAAGGCCTAGTCCGAATTGGACTAGGGGGAGGGGCTGCGCCCCTTCCTTGTTTCCTACTCCTACTACATGGAAGGACTCCTAGTTGGACTAGGAAAGGGGGAATCCTACTCCCGGTGGGAGTAGGACTCCCCTAGGGCGCGCCATAGAGAGAGCCGGCCCTCCCCTCCTCCACTCCTTTATATACGGGGGCAGGGGGCACCTCATAGACACACAAGTTGATCTTCATGGTCGTTCCTTAGCCGTGTGCGGTGCCCCCCTCCACCATATTCCACCTCGGTCATATTGTAGCAGTGCTTAGGCGAAGCCCTGCGACGGTAGAACATCAAGATCGTCACCACACCGTCGTGCTGACGGAAGTCCTCCCCGATGCTTTGCTGGATCGGAGCCCGGGGATCGTCATCGAGCTGAACGTGTGCCAAGAACTCGGAGGTGCCGGAGTAACGGTGCTTGGATCGGTCGGATCGGGAAGACGTACGACTACTTCCTCTATGTTGCGTCAACGCTTCCGCTTCGGTCTACGAGGGTACGTAGACAACACTCTCCCCTCTCGTTGCTATGCATCACCATGATCTTGCGTGTGCGTAGGAAATTTTTGAAATTACTACGTTCCCCAACAACCACAACCCCTAAGAAAAGAAAATTCTTTGACCCACTAATGGATAGGTCAACCTTGTTTTTTTAATGCGGTACAGATTCAGACGCATAATAAGACACATGCAATTACTCCTATGAACGCACGCACGCACACCTATCTCTATGAGTCCGTCTCCTTCCATTGAGGCACATTGCCGAAAGACCTGAAATAAATCGAGAAAAATGCAACTAGTAAGTCTAGGACTTTAACTCTGTTGGGCTGGGGATACTACTGTTCTCCTAACCATTCAATCACAGTTTGGTTCGTGATAAGCCCAACTTGTCATTGTCCATGTATAACTGAAAAATACAGTGGATATATTAGTAGTTTGCTAAAGGTAACAAAATTAATAAACCCGACCCTCACCCAAAGACAGGAGAGATTATTTTTTAAATTTGATTTAACATTTTTTTATTTTGAGGAGAATACTCATAAAACGTTCTGGTTTTTAGGTTCTGTTTCATTAGATGCAAGGAACGCAAAAATTCCTCTTCTACTGCCGAGGTCATTTAGCTCGGTATGAACAATAAAACAAAATAAAAATAAAAAACCTGATTTTTTCTGACAAACTTTGATTTTTTATATACTTGCCAAATTTCATCACTAGATGACATTCATGGAAGTCGTGAAAAAAATCAGCACTCCAAATGATTTCAAAAATAACATTTTTGCAGCACCGATTTTGCTTTTTTTTTCTTTTTGCCACGACTTCCATAGATGTTCTTTTTGAATGAAATTTGGCAAGCACAAAAACATTTTCCGAGTTCACTAAAAAAATTTGAGCTCAGGAGATACTCCGCTACAAGGCAATTATACTACTCCCTCTCTATCAAAATATAAGTCGTTTTTTGATACAAAGGGAGTATAAAAACACTTCTTATATTTTGATTTTTGTAGGTCTTCTTATATTTTGATTAAGAGGGAGTATTTTCTTCTGGAGAAAGAAATGACGGGTCAGAAAGGGCCCACGTCCCCCTAAAAAGTGGGGCCCACGTGGCAGCCACTAGACCACATGAAAAATCATAAGAACGAAAGGGCCCACAAGGCAGCCAGTGGGTGCAGTGGAACTAGGCTTGTAGGGTCTCTCTCTCCCTCCCCCCTTCCTCCCCCGCCGCCGCCGCCGCCGACGAAAATGTTGGCGGCTCGCCGCCACGCCGCCTCCACCCCCTCTCCGCTCCTCCTCCGGCGCCTCTCCGCCCAGCCGCAACCCAAGGCCCCTGTGCCTCCACCTCCTCCGCCCCCGCCGTCGGACGAGGGGGCCGCAGCGTGGGCCCGTCGCGCGGTCGCGCTCTCGCTGCTGGGGCTCACCGGCGCCGTCGCCGCCAGCGCCTTCAGCGACCTCTCCGTCTTCCTCTCCTGCTCCAGGTCCAACACCCCCGCCCACTCCCCCACCGTCGCTCATCTCCCTGTAATTTCTGGCTGTGTTGACCGGACGTGGAACCCAGATGCGCCCAAGATCACAACTTTGCGCCGATTCGTTTACCTGTTAGCATTCGTTTCCACGTATTCGTATCCTGTTTGTAGTTTTGATTTCAATGTAGTATGCGTGCTCTTGCTGCTGATGTTGATTTGTACTCAAATTTGCCTTCTTTTGTTATTTACAAAGAACAGGGGATGGATAACTGGAGATGAGGGGCCAGGGCTAACTGCTTTTGCTGCTCCTGTTGTTGTTGCAGCCAGGCAATGGAGAAGGCTACCAAGAACCAGCAGGTAGCGAGCGCGATCGGCGAGCCCATCACGCGGGGTCCCTGGTACAGCGCGTCCATCGCCGTGAACCGCGCGAGGCGCTCCGTCTCCTGCACTTTCCCTGTGTCGGGGCCCCAAGGCGACGGGCTTCTCAAGTTCAAGGCTGTTCGCTTGGGAGGTGTGTGCCGGTTGACAACTTGACATCAAAATTTTGTGTCTCATTTCATAAATGAATGAAGCCTGATTCAGATAAATCTTTGCCAGCAGTTATCATAGATATAGCAATTGTTGCAACGGTAGACTGCAGAATGACATACCTAGATTCTGATATTTGCTCACAAAAGTTACATGGTTCAAAGTAAAGTTGAGCAAGCTAAGCATAGGGTTTGAGGTTGAGCCTGGTGCTCACTATGCAACATCAGTATTCTCACAATCCTTTTAAAATGTAAAAGAAAGAATGAAACTCAACTTCTACCCTTGTTGCCCTTGATTGTTTCAACACTAACAAATTATTTCTGATTTCATAAATGAATGAAGCGTGATTGGACTTTCGGCTATGCATTTGATAGTGACAAGAACAGTACAGTTACAGTAAACTATCATCGTACTGGAGCAAAATGCAACAACGGCCAATGGCCATAAAGATCAACTATTGGGCAAAGTCAACAACTGCACATCATGCTTATACATACATAAGTACATAACAGTTTAGGACAGATGTAGGCTGTAGAATGAAATAGCTTAAATTATATTATCTGTTCCCAAATTTCCATACCTAGTCTCTCTAGTGGTCTTCTTAATGAGCAGCTATATTATTGTGATAAAGATGGTAGTACTGCTAAATCAAATATGAGACTAAAACAGGAATGGAAACTTGTATGACAACTTAACTGAAGTAGTGATCAAAATACTGAATATGGGTGGCACTCACAAGCTACAGCAAGGCAAGGCACATTGTTGGCATTATGAAGTCGATATGCTCTACCTATGTTGTGGTTTCACCAACTCGTCCCTTGGGTATATCTCTGATATATGGTTTGCGCAAGAAACGTGGAAATGTAGCATTACCTACCTGTGGACCTCTCAAGTGAAACCACATGATTGATGTGGGATATCTGTTTTATGGTATGACGCCATGAACGTGCCTAGTCTTGCTGGATAACTTTGAATGCTGTTGGTATGTGACTATTGTGGATGAGTTACTATAGAGTATAGTAGTTTAGTTGCCATATAAGTAGTTCTGTTTAAGACCCATTTTCCCTTTAGATCACCTCGCTAAGTAGGCAACAACAATGGTCAGACATAATGTTTATTGCTACAATGTACTGTACATCATAGTTCTTGTCCTATCCAGTCTATGGTACGTGACCCTCGTGCTGGGTTTGTTACCAACAATGTAAACATGTATATCTCATGAAGTGGGAGGGGGGTCCTTGCCTTAAAAATGTATTCAACCCTCATCTTTGCTTTAGTATTATCGGTTGTTCTAGCATCACAGATGGGGGATTTATTTTTCAGTGTCGGTTGCTTCAACTCAAAAGTAGGAATTAGTTCAAACTCAACCACACCGCTAAACAAATGCACACCTAAGCTGATCTGTTTTAACTACGGAACAGGGCAGATCGGGTGCCGCCCTGCATCCCTACCTGTAGGTAGTACTAACTGTTTATTCTTAACTGCCTTGAACATTTTTGGTAAAATTTTAAATGTAGAGCTAAAATAGCAATATCTATATTAGTGTCAGATCAGTTGGTGATATGACTTGAGCCATTAGTGTCCAGGTAGCATTATAATTTCAAGCTATAGCATTCGATGGGAATAGGTCGAGATGTCTTTTGGCATGTGTTGTTAAATTTGCCTGCTATGATCTTTCTGGCCATTGGGCCCTGTTATGGCGAAACAGAACACACGAGTAATTCAGTTATTATGCATGTAATTCAATTATTTTGTCACTATTGTTTTACATGTGTTATGGTTCTTCATGCTGTATAACATTTCTGAAATGGTATATTAAGTTAACACCATAATGTTTCATCAATTATCCCCACTGTGAGGTCAATTATTTTGCTTGTTAGTGTAGAGGAATACCAACTATGTTAGTAGTAGATTGGATGGGTTTGGACTGGATTGACTATCTGTTTTGGGTTCTGGCAAGCCAATTGTGAACAAGTATTTACACAGTTGGTTCAACCTCATGGATCTTTTTTGTGGACACTCTTAACAGTGCTACAAAAGAATTCTTAAAAACAGATTTAGTATCAAAAAAGTTTTTGGCTGATTTTGTTATATAGACCAAAGGTGCAGTGGGCTGGACTTGTGCCCAAAGTACCAGGTAGCTTTGTTTGTGGCTTTGTTTAGATGGGCTAGATTGTAGTGGAATGTAGCAGGTTAGCTCGTAGAAGCATATTTATATAAGGGGTTTTACTATAATTGGCCTATTACAGGACACATTCATGCATATTTAGTTTAGTCTGTTGCTTGCTTTTTCACTGTTATTAAACTGCCTGAACTATTAATGGCTTTAGTTGACCTTCAGTTGTCGCTGTAAGAATGACAGGCTAACCTTTTTGTTTCATTATAATTAGTAGTAGTAAGTATGTCTAGTTTTCTTGTTTGTGAATTCCACTACACAGTGGGTAGATCTATGTTGGAAAGAGGATATGATTTTAGGTACAAAATAGGAGCATATGATTTGATCTTTGAACATTGAATTAAGTTCTGTTAACGAAGTTAATTTGACATTTACAAGAAATAAATTTTATTCCACAGCGCATGACATGGTGCAGTGGAGGTAGAGGTCGATGACGACTTGACTAGGGCCAACTTGGTATTCAAGTGCCTGTCCAGCTTGTCCGCTGTGCTGTGTTGTCACAAATATATTTCTATTATATGTTTATTCGTCGTGCATTTTGATTTACCAGGACAACCTGATTCATATTTATCTCGCATCATCTGTTTCCTCGCAGAGGAATCATGGTTTCGGTTTCTACAGCGCAGCGACTGGGAGATACTCATAATGCACGCCATCCTTGACGTTCGCACCGAAGATGGGAAGCACCAAACAATGAGGGTGATGGTCGCAGACAACACGGCAGCTCCACCACCACCAGCTGACTGCAGGACATGCAAGCCCCGTACAACGCCGACACCAAAGCCAAAGCCTACACCAGTGCCGACGCCGATGCCTACATCGGCGCCACCTCCGGCTCAGGAGAAGTGAGGAGCTCACCTGGAGAGATGCTCTTTGGTGGGTGCTCTGGACATAGCTAGCGTGGAGTGATTGTTTCGCCACGCCTCATTCCTGGGAGAGAAATAAAGTAGTGCGCACTGGACCAACTAAGCAGAAGATCGGATTGTTTTCTCGTACGTTGGGCGGATGATACAGCCTAGAATAGGTTACACGGGTGTTTGTTTCGCGGCGCTGGCCATACTACGAAATACTGTCTATCTCACAAGACTAGAACTGCCTTGGGACTTCTAGCAAGGGCAGCATTTTGAGTGGATCTCAAATTCTTTTGTTGGTTCATTATTCATGATATCTTATCTTTTTTTTGCATGGTAATACGTGTCTTATTTAAATCATAAATACCATAGTACAAGTCATGTAACCGACCTGGCAAAACTGAAAAGATAGCAGAAAGCTAGCAAGGAACAACAATCAAGAAGTAAAATTACAATCAAGATTGAAGAAACCTTTGAACATGACACTAACGCCCGTCACCTGCCTTTGGAACCACCACAGCAGCCACCAAAGGAAAAAATGACGGATCACTTTCACACCCGAGCTCGTAGCGGCTCCATCGCTGATATGCAGCTTTGCGAACCTTCAAGGTGGCTCACCAAAGGCAAAATCATTACCGTTGAACGAATCAGACCGGGGCAATACCCTGGACACGCCATCGAACTTCAGATCTGGCACCCCCACACGACTAGAACGCCGGAGGAGAAAACCACATCTGCCATCCACGAACCGCGAACCCAGCACACGATTCACCATCTTCCAGATGTCGCCGATGCATACCACAATCTGCATCCACTCCTGAACTACCTCCCAAACTCCGCGCCGGCGCTGGAGCAAACGTCGTCGCAACGGCGGAGCCTGAGGATACAGGTCCACCACAAGGATGTCGTCGCCGCCACGCCATCTTTGTTTGAACATACTGATTTTCAAATCCATCCCGAACCATAGGACCGGTCGCCTCGTTGAAGTAGGATCCGAAAAAAATTTATTCAACGCCGCCATTGCCGCAGCCGAAGCCAAGACGATAAACGGCCTAAAATCCTAATCTACGAGAGAAAAAACGATCCACACGCGTGGATCCGGTGATACCCCTCAGCACCGACAACCGAGGCCGACGGTGGAGGGAAGCCGCCCGACGGCGGCAGCGGGGAAGACTCCTGGCGGCGAGGTCGCCTTTTCTTTCCTCCGGCGGAAGAAAGAAAAGCGAACGATCTGGATCGATCAGTCCATATGATATCTTATCTTTTGCTGGCTGCGGACTTGCAATGCGGCTGTCTGTAATACACATACTGCTGCACGGTTGCAGATTACTCTGATACCGCTGCATGCCTAGCTATCGTTTATGTGATGGTTGTTCCAGATTACTCTGATGCACTCGTTGCATTGTATCTCCTGCTCATTTCTCCCGTCCAAGTGGCCCATCTTGGTGTTTTTCTTCTCCCTGGCCTCTCTTGCCGTCTCTGAGGATTCGGTGGCCAGGTCTGGCCCCGCGATGCCGCCTTGGCTTGGACGTGATCTGTGCGATTTCGATGTTTGCAAACTCGAGGATCGCCGTTTTCAGTCCTCTTTTGTGGCAGAGTTGGACATTCCATCAATGGTTTGAAGGGCAGAGTTCGGGCAGGTTTTATTCGTCACTTTGATTTACATTACATGGTGGTTCTTCTCCGGCCTCCAGCCGCTCTCATGAGCTTGGCATGGTGATCAAGAGATCCTACTCGGTGCTGCTGCTGCTCTGGATGATTGGCGTGGTCGTAATGGAGCTGTCGGTGCTGCTGGCGCACGGCCAAGTCAGATTGAATCGGGCTCGTGCCACTGCCATCATCGACCAAGGAGACAGAATTCAGCGGCAGTGGCGCGGGAGGACTTGAGGAAATTACCGGCCGAGTGGTTTTTGTATTTTTTACTGGGTGTGGCGGTGGCGTGGGAGAAGTGGGCGCTCGGGAGACACACATTCATACACCCACCGACGATGCTAAACGCACAACCAGAACGAAGGCTAGGCGGAGAGAACTTTATTCCATCTACAGGGAGCCCACTGTCTCATTTTCCTGATAAGGACAGAAACTCGAAGCCCTCCCATCGAAAAGGGCCAGGATCCACGTGTTCCCATGGCCCTAAGGCCATCGGAGACGAGGTGGACCGACAGCGGTACAGGCGGGAGGCAGAGAAACCCTAATCTCTTTTTTGGGGGAGGAGGTGGCGGCTGTATTAAAAAACTCTTCAACTGGGTGAAAGTTTTGGGCATAGCAAACCTGTTTAGTACACTATTTAGAGATACTCTGACACTGCATGTAGGTTTTCTAGCCGTGGACGCAAGATTGATGTACAAAATTTGAGATGCAGGCATGGAACGCTCGAGTCTGCCGCTTCACAAATGATTTAGATTTTAAATTTGCCTACTGTATTTGATACTGTACGTCATTTGAAGGGAAACAGACGAGTGTTAAAGAAAAATAAGGATGGGAGTGGGAGAGGCACACTCGGCGTGGGAAAGCCGGAGACCCATCCAGCTAGGCACAAAAACGTCCACCCCCTAGCTCAGGGGCAGACCCAGGATTGGGCCAAGCTCAGGGCCCATGCTGCTACAATGCGGCTACAGTACTACTACAGTGCACAATATTATTACAGGCAACGAAGTGATTCATCCTCACGCCCAGAGCCCAGGCCCCCGGGCCTGGGTCCTGGATCCGCCACTGCCCTGGCTTGCTCTTGTCTCCACCCTCCATTTTCTTCACCTCTCTGTTAGGCAGTTGAGAAATAGTCTGCAAAGAGGAAAACATATCGTCCTTCATTGTGCTTTTCGACTAATTCCTTTGTGCTACCCCGTACGCTTTGGTGTTGGGTTTAAAAGCACGTGTTTTTTCTTGGTTCCTTGTGTTGTAATGCCTTTTTGCCGTTAGTGTGTATTGATTTGATGGAGCAATAGATATGTGTAGGTGTCTGTGATGAGTAAGTGTTGGTTCAAAAGATGACAACTTTTCTTTTAACTTTGTGGAGTTCGGTGTCAATTCGCCAGCCAGCTAGCACCCGCGGAGACTACTCTCTCAATTCCAAGTATATCTTGTTTGTGTAATAATATAAACAATAAAATTAATTAATTATGTCCAAATGAAATAAATGTAATTTTAATTTATAGCAAAACTTTATACGTGTACTATTTTTATCTTGTTGTAGTCTTATCGATTATAAGTTTATTTGTTGACATATCTAACCATATGATAATATTTGTTCTCATGTTTTTTTTACAAAAATGGAATGAGTATTATTGCAAAAGTACGTATGCACTGTGCCAAATTTAATTTTGTATATTGTAACAAAGATACTCATTGAATTATTGTCATGTGTGTGCGTGTGTATTACTTTATATTTGATATTCTCAAACTACCATGATAGAGATCTTTAAAACTGTGTATTACTTTATATTTGATATTCTCAAACTACCATGATAGAGATCTTTAAAACATACGATCAAACAAATACCATGATATCAACTTCTAGTGTATGATTTACATAAACTTCTAGAGTATAAGTTGAGTGGTTGTCATTGACTCTTTACCTGCATTTCGCATAAAAATATATATGTCCTGCAAGTTACATTGGGTACAATAGTTTGATTTTGACAAACACAGTACAGATGCAAATGCCCTGGCATACACACATACACTTTTCTCCATGATCACTTGCCCCAGGTGAAGGTGATGGGGCTACCACCTTGTGGTCAACGCTCGTCCATGCGATGGGACCGAAGTCTCATGCCCCGGCCGGCTTCACCACATCACTGCGGGACTTGACTCTGTAGCTCATCGCCTCCATCTGCTGCTTGACCTTCAGCGTTGCCGGCATCACGGTTACCTTGACGGCCTCCGGTGTCGTGACAGACACTTTGTATGTCTCGGATGACTGATCGGACACCTTGATCACCATCCGCTTCAGCGTGAGGATGCATGTGCGGCTGTGTAAGAACACCACCAGAGAAGGATAGTTGAGGTTGTTCACACCACCAGATCACGTTGGGTTTCAGGAGCTCGACGGTCATGTTACTTAGGTCGCGCAAGGAGAATCTAGCGATCCTTGGTGCTCTGTTTTTGCCGATCACCGTGGTGCATAAGCTGAGCCGACCGACGGGGTAGGTAATCGACAACATGTATTCAAATAACTTTACCCTCGCTCCACGGCTGATGAGTAGGTGTTGGTTCAAAAGATAACAAGCTCTCTTTTTTTTACTTTGTGGAGTTCGGTGTCAATTCGCTAGCCAAATAGCATCCGCGAAGGCTACTCTATCTATGTTGAGCATATCTTGTTTGAGTAATAACGTAAACAATAAAATAAATTAATAATGTTCAAATGAAATAAATGTAATTTATAACAAACTTTTATACTTGTACTATTTTTATCTTGTTTTAGTCTTATCGATTATAAGTTTATTTGTTGATATAGCTAACAATATGATAATATTGCTGAACTTTAGTCATAACTTTTTAGAAAAATAGAATGCATATTATGGAAAAAGTACGTATGCATCGCACCAAATTTAGTGTGTATATTGTAACAAAGATACTTATTGAATTATTATCATGTGTGTGCTTGTGTGTTACTTTATATTTGATATTCTCAAAATACTATAATATCAACTTCTAGTGTACTATTTACATAAACTTCTAGAGTATAAGTTGAGTGGTTGTCATTAACTCTTTACTTGCATTTTGTGGAAAAATATATATGTCCTGCAAGTTACATTGGGTACAATAGTTTTTTATTTTTGACAAACATGGTACAGATGCAGATGCTCTGAATACACACATACATTCATCCTTATAAATGCACACAACCACCCCCACCCTATAAGAACCTTCGAGAGACTGAGCTACATGATCTTAGCTTATTGAAGTCGCTACAGACGCATCCCTATGGATGTGAACGTCTCCTCCCACTGAAAGAATATTATGTTATTATGAAACACCAAAGCGTCAAACCTGGGT